CTTTTTTTTTTAAGAACTGCCTCTCTCTAGGACAAGCACCCAGGTGGTTTCTCCTCTGAACATGTCAATGCAACATCTTCAACTCAGAGATCAAATAATTATCTTTCTTCTTTATCCTCATAATCTTTTTTTACTTCTCTTTTATTCATATGACACATTTCATTTATCATTATCACTTTGTTCACTGTTACTCTATAACTTGAGTGAATCTCAAACCTTGTATCGGTGAACTTTAGTATTGCAAAACATATAAATGAATGAAGTTTCAATCCATCAACTGCTGTTTGCTTGAAGAATCAAACAAATACTTAACCTATATTTTATAATCTCTTCAAATTATTATTCTCATGTTACCAGGTGTAACAGAAAAATTGTCCAAATTGTGTAACAGCATGTGATAATTGTCCATCCAAAAAATGTTCAATATCTAAAAAACCACTAAACTAATTGAGTTTCTTTTTTCCAGATTTTCAGATAAGTCATTTAACCATCTTAACATCTTGTCATAAAAATCACTAAAAGATCCTTTCAGTTATTCAGCTAGAAAGAGAACAGGTTGAAATTGTTTTGTTTCAGCACAACTGTCTCCCAGATGAGCAATTGTGAGAGGAAAAATATCATTGACACCTTTACTAATGGTACCAACATTCACACTCTGGTTTCCATTCAAGAACCATTAAGAGTATGGTGAATAAGTTTAAAAAAGGAGGAACAATAGAGAGGAAAACTGGATCAGGAGGTCACAACAGGAAGAGGGATCATCATTTCAACTTAGAGCTAGAGAGATCAATTAGAAAAGATTCAGCTCAATCCATGAGATGTTTGGCACACGAGAGAGAAGTTTCAACTATGACAGTCCAGAAATCAGTGAAAAAAGACTTGAAAATGAAATCGTATGTAAAACCTGTAAGGAACCTTGTTACTCCATGACAGAAAGTTAGAAAGGGCAAATATCAACTTTAATAAGTTGGGAAATGATCCTCAAGTATATATATATATATATATATATATATATATATATATATATATATATTGGTACTTTATTTCCATCTTTCATGATTTTCCAATCCTTAGCTATGATTAATTAATGATGAACATGTCATTTTCGTTTATGATCAATTTCATGACAATTCTTCTGTTAAGCTTGGAGAGTAATTATACATGCTTATTGCTCAAATGATAAGAGTAAAAAGATCATTCAGGTTTTCAGTAATGGTACCAATATTCATTCTCTGGCTTCTGTCTTCAAAGTCCACTCAAGAACCATCAAATGAATGATGAATAAGTTTCCAAATGAGGGAACAGTAGAGATGAAAACTGGATCAGGAGGTCACTACAGCAGAAGAGATCATCATTTCAATTCAAATAAATTTTTATTGTTCAAAGTAGAATCCAATAGTGTTTTAAAAACCTTGGAGAATTGCAGTAAGATATCTTTAATCATTTCTAAGGTACAATGGTTCAAAGCTTAATCTAACAATTGGACAATTTTTCTGTTACACCAGGAATATATTATTACATACACAACATTTCAACCAAGTACCCTTTGGCCATCATCAGATGCCCATTGTTTGGTTGAGATGAGATAACTGTTGATTATTGTATTATTTTATCTATGTGATAACACTGTTTGTTCCTATTGTGTCAGTGTTTCACTACCTATTTCAGGGATTGAACCTGAAGACATGTTTAACCAACTGCAACATCCACTATGCTACCATACTGAAGGACATCAGTAGTATACTTTTTTGAGTCTTTTACACTCAATGATAGATAGTTATTTAGTTTTGTATCTCTTTTTTTTAAATTTTAGAGACAAGTACACATTTCAAAAATTAAATACAAAAAAATACTTAACTTCTTTTTACCAAGGTATGTCTGATACTTTTTGGCATACTTTATCTTTACAAGAGCAAGATTACACCAAAAATAGTGTATTGTTACCATATTTGGTCTGAAACTGTAACTCTTTACCTTGAGTAGCTCTCAAGCCTTTCATGACATAAACTTTAGTATGAAAAATGGATCAAGATTGTATCTGTCAACTGCTGTTTGCTTGAAAAATCAAACAAATACTTAACCTGTTTTTGCCAAGGTGTTTTCAAATTGCAAAAAAGATTGTCTCTTTTGATTTGAACTATAAGACAAATTTTGCATCTCAAGACATTGTGGAACCAAACAAATTATTTTTCCAGTGTGCATTCTTTCTTTGCAAGCAATATTGGAGGTCAAATGCTAGTTTGAAGATCATGAAAAGTGATTGAAGTTTCTTTGCACACATTACCCTTGTTAATTAAGTGAAGAGAAAAATCAAGCAAAAAAGAATTGTATTAAAACCGATTACAACTTTATTGGTGTCAATGTTTGCCAAAGTAATTTTTTCTCTGGTGAATAATGTGATTATTTTTGTCATTGTTGCTTGTTAAGTCTGTACCTATTGACCTTTCTTCAATTAAATGTTCAAAGTTACTGATTGTAGTACCAGTTGTATGGCTCTCATTGCAAGCAAAATAGAATTTATAACATAAGAATATATGAACTATGAAGCAAGCAAAAGATTGACCCCCAAAATATAACTAAAATAATATTTGTTAAAAAAAGTTTACTTAAATTTAAAAACCTATTTTCTTCATGTTTCAAAGAATATGAAATAATATTTAAGCTTGTGTGTGATTTGATCATGTTCAAAATTCATGAAATGATGAAATCCTAGCTAGAATGTTGTTGAGTGCAACCCTGGTAAAAGAGACAGGTTTTAACATGCAATCTTCTTCTATGTGTCATAGCCCTTCAACACGTTGGCGATTATGGCTCTCTACAATTTCCTATACTTTATAGCTCCTAATAAATTGTCTTTTTGATTTCTCTCTTAAATATTGAAAGCTCTTTTACAAATAAATATAAATACCAACAGCATAGTAGTAGCTGTATACCCAAATATATCACCTTGGATTATCACAGAACGAATAGGGAATCTCAGATTAAGTCAGTTTAAAAATGAATTCATCAATGATCTTGAATACCAAAATGCATTTGGTGAACTAAAAGACAAATATAGTGAACACATAAAAATTTGTACTTATAGAACAAGAATGAAGATAAAACAGGAGCAGCAACAGCAGTAAGTGGGGAAAACTATCTATAAAAGGCAGGATGTATGTATGTGTGTGTGTAATGAATGCACGGCCGCAATTTTTGACAGGTTTGCATCGAAATGTACATGCACATGCTTCAAGTTAGCAGAACGGCCAAGACCAACTTTGCATTTCCCAACTCCCATCGATAGTGGAAATAATCAATTTTTTCATGTTTCTACGGCACTTTTCATGTAGTTTGCAGCCATTTTCTACTGGCCAGATTGAGAGCCAATAGCTGGCTGCCACGAATAGGCAGGAAGATTCTATTGGCCAGCGTGAGAGCCAACAGCTGACTGACACGAATGTTAACTAGCATGCTAGCATGCAAAAAAATCGATAGCTGCATTCATCACAAGTGAGAAAAATTTAAATCTGCATGGCACTTTACTCCAATTGGCTCATTCGCTTGCTTAAACTCAACGTTAATTCTGATTCCGCAGAACTGGGTTGGGTGTGAAAAAGTATTTGTTGTTAACATTCTTTGTTTTCATTCGGTTTTTCCAGTTACGAGTCCTTTTTTAAAGCTGATCATTTTGTGTTCATTTTGTTTAGTTCTTTTTTCGTAACAGATTTAATGTTTAGTATAGAGCTTAGGAAAAAATTGCAGTGTAAGATAGGCAAGAAGTAAGGCATGTAGCAACATCAGCACGGCAAAGGGCACTCCTTTAAAGGCAAGGAAGGGCAAAAATATTTTAAGTCAAGTGATAGCGATTGCTGTATGAGTCGTACGATTTTTGAATCAAGCACAGGCAACTCCGGGCCACCCTGCTAGTAAAGAAATATGATTACCGAACAAAGCGACTTGCAGGCCCTGAAGATGTAGCTCATAATCAGTCTATCATATTTACAAATTTTTTCTCTAAAATTTGTTGTTGCTCATTATGTTTTATATATGGTACTCTCAGCATCCTTCTGTAGAAACACATTGATATTGCTTCAAGTCTCTTCTTCAACTGTGAGGAGATTGTCTAGCATTCACTGTCATATAAGAGCATTGATATTACATAACATTTCAGTACTCTTTTCTTTGTTTCTGTTGCATAGCCCATTCGTACTTGGGAGGTCTTGGTCATCAGCATTAAAATGAGCCTATGCTGCATAGCCCCTTGATGGGGGTGAAACCATCCCATCCTCTTTTGGCCAGTGATTGATAGTTGTTTTGAGTTCAAAGATAAAAGAACTTCAACACAGGGAATTTTAACTTTGTTATTAACATTCATGTCGACATGTTCTGTCTATCCAATGAGGATTGTTCCCCTTCACTGGGAAGCCATTTCAGACACAAAAAACATGCCTACATTGTTTGATGGTTAAGACTTGACTCACTGAAAAACCTTTCTCTCTCTCCTTTCCCATGCACATTCAGCCAATCAAAATCAACTTTTTTTTTTATTTTGTCTTCCATCTGACCTTGAAGGTCAACCTCAGGGTAATACATTTCCACTAAAAAAATAATAGCCTGTTATATTATTATTTAACATTTCTAACAAAATTTTCTATTTCTTAATATTTTGATTAGCTTTTTGAAGGCATACTTTGCTATCCCAAAGCAATTTTGGATTTCACACTTTCTGTCCTCTGTTAGAACACATCCCAGATATTTACATACATATTTGATTTTAGTATCCCCAATTTGTAATTTGCATGTTGTAATTTGTATGCTCCTTTTGCTAACAACCAACATTTTTTGTGATAATGATTTAGTAATACTAGTTTTTCGAATTAACCCAAAGCTGGGGTGAGAAGAGATGGGCTCATACCTTTCCCAAGGATATTTGCATATAGGTGAATATAATGAATCCAACTGGAATCTCTGATTAAGAATTCTGAACCATTACCAATTACACCACCTCTACATGCAAGCTTACAGCACCTAATATTCCCAAGTGTTCACCCATCATGATACTGACCAGGCTTGACGTTGCTTCACTTTGGTGACCATACATGAACTGGTGTTTCAACACTGAATAAATAGCCATTTATTTTCTGCTGAATCTTTTATTGGTAAGTTACCACTGATACAAAGTTATTTTGGGGTCATGTTGGTTTATTGCTGTGTTTCTGTACTGAAGTTTCACTGAATCGTAGGGTCTCATGAGAAATATTGTTCTCTTTATATGTGTGGTGTATCTTCAAAATATTTGTAATCATAGTCCTTCCTATCTTTTCTGATATGTCCCGGAAAGGGATATATTTGTTCGAAGTAGCAAAGTGGTTTTGGACTACTGTAACCGAGTAGGACAATCTAGCAGGTAACCGTAATGGACAGGTCCTCGTCGTAGTGGTAGGCAATAAGCGTAGGCAATTGGTGAAAACAATAGGTGTAGCCAATAGGCATTGTCAATCCGTGTACCTCCACATCAGTCTGTATTTATGACTGACACCAGCCAATCATATTACTGTGAGGGGGGACCATGTGTATGCATATTCATTACATCAATTTCTTATGCCTTTATAACACTTTTTATCTGCTAATAATGAAATTGTTAACTTTTCTGAAAACAAAAGCTCCAGTATGTTCTGCTATTTAACCCATAGCAGGAGAAAAAGAGGGTATTTGCACATAAGTGATGAATGTAACAAACTTAACCAGAATTTGAACTTAGCATTCTGATTTCCAGTTCTGAGCTGGTATCCATTACATCACCCACACAATCAAGCTTACAGCAACTAGTATACTGAAGCGGTTACCAATGTAGGTACTGAACATGTTCAATGTTGCTTAACTTTGGTGATCAAAAGAGAACCAGTGTTTCAACGTGATATGGCTATATTCTTAGGCTTAGGAGTAAAGACTTATATCAACAAATTTCAAGTTTTATTAAAACCCACCTGGAAGAATTGTTGACCAAAATCAAACATTATTTTGACTCCATTTCAACAGATGTTTATGATTTGGGACAGGAGTCATACTTAGAATCTTCTGTTTTTCATCTCAACATGACTTGAAGAGGAACTTTGTGATCTACCGTCAAAATGTTCACCCAAAAAGACATTTACTGACCTATCCTTGAATGAGTTCTGGATTTCTGTGAAAGACATGCATACTGTCATTCATAAAGAAAAGCAATAAACAAATTGCCAAAGTTTTCAGCATCTTACATATGGAAACACATTTTTTCTTATTTAACAAGTATCAAAAGCAAAGAAGCAAGTTGTCTCTTTACAGGTGGAAATTAAGTACAATATTTGTCATTGAAATATTTGTGCTCTAAAAGAAAAACACTGGTTTCTCATTAAGGAAGTAAATTTAATTTTCTAAATTGGTTTAAAAAAATAACAAATTCAATTATCTAAATTGGCTTAAAAATAACATTATCTTGATTCATATAACATATCGTCTTGATTTATAAGTTAAGTAATGCTGTGCCTGGTCTGTCCATAAAGGGCGACTGTATAGGAATTCCAGGTGCAGTAAGCTTGAATGTGTAATCGGAGAGCCGGCTGAATTCTAGTTGAGTTTGTTATATTAACTTAGGTACAAATACCCTTATCTTCTCCCCTAATATGGGATAAATAGCCTAAGTTGACAACTGGTTTACTGAAGAGTCCTTCTGTTAAGTTTAATCATGAATAAAAAAAGAATGATTGCCCATGCATGCACCTACATGTTATATATAATATTTCTTGGGCACATAATTAAGAAGGAAGGCTTGGAAAATTTGGCACTCACAACATATTGTAGACAAGAAAGGAAGATGGAAACAATGAGAAATCTACTTAATGAGTTTATCAGGTAAATATTACTAAGAGCTACAAAGCATAAGCAGTTGTGGAGAGGCATAATCACACATAACTTACAGGGACACAGCACATAGAAGAATATTGAATGTTTACTATTTTTGCTGTAAGAATTAAAATCATTTTATATACAGTCTATTGATGAAAGAATTTGATTTTTGTTATTTTTGCTTTGTTAATAAACTTTTGTATGCCAACCAAATATAAAGAGAAAAGGGTTCAGATAATTGTCTCTAAAATTAAATTCAAACCATAGATCAGGATCATAGCTTAAGAATAGGAAAGTTGAAGGAAAAGACATCAATCCTGTTTGATAGAATTATAAATCAAGCTGTTGTTGATTTAAGTGCAGTGTGTTTTTTTCTTGGCTCCACAGGAAGGCATTAAACATTTTTAAAAAATCTTTTTACGCCAAGCAAGGCAATAAAACCACTAATTTGAAAGTGGTGACTGGGAGTGACAGAATATGAGAAAAATAATTATTGAGATAGGGAAAAAGAAGAACAAGATTCAAGGAGACATAAGATGATGATTGACATTGCATTGAAAGTTTTGAAGATTTAACTTGTCTGGAAAGCAAGAAACCAGGAAAGAGAGAAGTATCATAGAAGAACTTGTAAGTATAAAACTTACAGTTACACCTTACAATTTCAACTGTAAAATGATGTCACCTAGCTGCCAATTTAGTACTGCACTTAGGTACCAAATAGGAAAAATTATCAAAACAGTTACAATGAAAATGAAATTATACAAAAGCCGACAATCTCCCTTTGGTGGAGATGAAATCACGTGAAGCTGCTTAGTGGCATCACTTCATAGAATAACTAAAATGGTCAGTCATTCATTCAGTTTACAAGAGTCAGACCGAGTAGTTTTTTTTTTTTTACCCAAGGCCAAGGGGTCCATGCTGAGGCTGAATCTGCCCCCTCCACCACATGCCTCAGCTGGTAAGGACATGGTGCCATTCTCCAGATATAGAAAGAAACTCCAGCTAGAAGTCCTTCAATTTGATTCTGTTTCCTGTTTGTGGAATATGTTCTTTCTTGGGGCATTCTAGATGAATCCAGCCCATTGGAATCTGGAGTCCTAAACATGGCTTCTCCAGAAACAAAGAAGTCTCTTTATCTTTTCATTCTCCTTTCAATCTGCTTGCTGTGTAGATATATGTTATATTTTTCTCTGTGTGGGACATGTGGAAATATGTATATATAATTTTGTGCATGTCTTAGTGGTATAAAAGTTTTTCTGAGAACAAAGCATGTTTATCATTCCTTTTGCTTTCAGCCATTCAATTACATCTGTGAAAAACAGTGCTATTATACCATGGATATAATAATGCCCATAATGGGGGAAATTGAAAAGGAAGAATAAACCACTCCTCCATTATAAAAATATTTATAGAAAAGGCACAAGGAAGCTATGTAACTGGAAAGAAATTATGCACAGATGAGACAGGCATAGCCTATGGTTTAGACATTAAGATTTAAGTATACATATATAGTTTTTGAATGAGGTGTGAAATATGTGTTAGATTATTTACTTAAAATGATATTGTTCATGGACTTTATATTGCTGAGAGTGAACGGGACTGTTTGGTATGGTAGGTACCATTTTCTTTTTGCTGCCAAGTTGTCTTTACAAAAAGAAACTAACAAAGTAGAAACAATGTCAGCAACACAAAGAATGTATTCATGAGCACTAGGAAATATTGGTATGACAAAACTTTAAATTTTTATAAAATGGATAAATCTCTTGTTCTAACATCTGTATGATGTATTTCTTCAGGATGTGAGTGATCATGCCTCTCCACAGTTTCCTATCCTTTCACTCCTCTTTTGCCATTCATTTACACAAGTTTGTTACATAGTTTACTCATTGTTTCTCTCTATCCCTCTTGACTTCATTATGTCTTGTGAGTGTCAAATTATCCAAGCCTTCTTTTCTCATTCAACAGTCTCTTTATGAGTTTAAATACAAGATTTCTTGTTGCTTCTATTTTCCTTAAGATTTCCTCATTGCTTTATTTTTTCCATCTACGATTTTCTTAATGTCTTTTTGTTCTCTGATATCTCCACTTTATCTTAGTGGAAATTGTCATTGCTATATAAGAGGATTGATAATACTTAACAGTTCAACACCCTTTTCTTTGTTTCTAATGAAACTTTCCTGTTTCTTAATACTTTGCCAAGCTTTTGGAAAGCATCTTTTTCTATTCCATTATTTATTCAGATTTCTCTCTTATTTTATGTTGCCTGTTAAAACATTTCCCAGATAGTTTCTCTTTTCGCTTGATTTTAGCACTTCCAGTTTTTTCAAGTAAGAATGTTCAATTTTTTTTAATTATTACATCAATATTAATTAGTTTTAGGATAGTAGTTCCAAAATTTTTTTCTCTGGGCCACATTTTTGGAATGTTTCTCCTAGAACAGCTATTTTGTGGGACAAATTCCTACATGGATACTTGCCTTTTCATGTCAAGAGTCAATTGCTGTGTAATCTCTTTTTTCTATCACCTCTTACATTCCTCATTCAGTGACCCTCTACCATGAGTGTCACTTGAGCCTTGTATTAGGGGAAGTTGCCTAAAAAGTAACAATTCAGAATTCATGTTGTATGTCAAGAGACATTACATGCTCTTAAATGTCTGCAGAAATTACAATTTCTACCCTTCATCTATATTTTTGGAATGTGTCTGAAATTTTTGCATTTTACTTTCTGTCATATTTATCAATGAATTTATTTGTAGACAAACATTTAATTAATCCTCCTTGTGTCTAATATGTTTATTCTTATATGTTTCTGAAGTTTTAGGTTTGTAGTAAAAATAGAAATTAAAATCCTATACATCCAATACTTTTACATATAACTGTATGTACAAATTATACCATTCCATCAAAAATAACTAGATATATGAAATGTATATTTTAAGTCCTTAATATCATGATTGATTTATTTTTTACAGTTTATCAACCTTTTGGCGGGTTATGTAAAGCCAGAAAACATCTTTAGATTGTAAGAATTTTTAAAAAAATATTAGTTTTTCCAAGTTCCAAGTTCTGGGGAGAGAATAGGTTCCTGCCAATTAACCTATACCTGGGGAGAGAATAGGTTCCTGCCAATTAACCTATACCTGGGGAGAGAATAGGTGAATTTATAACTTTCCCAAAGGTATTTGTACATACATGAATATAAAGAAGCTGACTGAAATTGGAACTCAAGTCTCTG